ATAAGGAGGAGGGAGAAAACTTGTTCACCTTAGCCTCTAAGGATAGAACAAGAAGCAATGGGCTTAAACTGCAGCAAGGGAGGTCTAGGTTGGACAATAGGAAAAAGTTCCTAACTGTCAGGGTGGTTAAACACTGGAATAAATTGCCTAGGGAGGTTGTGGAATCTCCATCTCTGGAGATACTTAAGAGTAGGTTAGATAAATGTCTATCAGGGATGGTCTAGACAGTATTTGGTCCTGCCATGCGGGCAGGGGACTGGACTCGATGACCTCTCGAGGTCCCTTCCAGTCCTAGAATCTATGAATCTATGAATCTAAGATGGCTATCCTGACTGTAACCACAGCTCTCACCACTGGACAACACTCCCCCTCCCCAAGCCAGAACACAACCCAGAACTCCTGATCTCTAACATCCCACTGCTATCTAGCAGACAGCTGTGTCACGATTGTGTCACGTCCTCCGCTAGTGGCTAGGCCACACACAGGATAACACACTCCTTTGGCTCAAGTGGCACAGGTCTGTGTTGAGGAGCTGAAGGTCTCTGGCCTGAGCCCTGTTGCCCCATGGTGGGGTCCCTGTGGTTACATGTGATAGAAGTTCTGGTTTCAAGGATTTATATTGCCACTTTCATCTCACTGCATTGTACAGTCTATGGGTAAAATCCTGCATTCATAACGTAAGTCCCTACTCAGGCAAAACGCTCACTGAAATCAATGGAGGTTCTGTAAACCCTGCCTGGTATTTTGCCCTGTGCACACTGACAACAGTGGCTTCCTGCTGACACTTTGCACACACTGATGTGCATGTGTACAACCAATGTTTCCTTAGGTTAACTTTGGAGTTTGACACAGCACTGCCTCTCAGGTCAGGTGCCAGGCAGACATGGAGCTCCCAGCTCTGACGATGCTGGATACACAGCAGTCCTTCCACTGCTCTGAAGCCCCTTATGAGTATTGCTATTGTTGATCTCTGTGTGAGTTCCTTAAAATTGCCAAGTTTGTTGACTAAAACTCCAAGATTGTACTAGATTGCCTTGATGCTATGACTGTCATGCACCAGCTCTGCCTCTTCTATGCCTCTGTCACCATACATGCTCCCATGCTCAGAAGGACCTGGGGCACAGATCCTGCCAAAGAACTGAACTGCTTCATTATCTAATTACATTTTATCAGCTATGAAACTGGCAGAAAACAGCACACATCATCCTCCACTGCCCAGAACACAGACTGATGGATCTTGGGCCCTAGTTCCTCTGTTACTATAAAAGAGTTGGTGCTGTTCATTGATATTAATGGCAGAAGCAGGGCCGGCTCTAGGTTTCTTGCTGCCCCAAGCAAAAAAATTTTGGCTGCCCCCACCCGCCCCCCCCCCCCCCCCCTTCAACTGCACCCTCCTGCCACCCCAGACCTGGGTCACTGGTAACTCACTCCCAGGGCGGGTCATTCAGCAGGAATTTTGGATGTGCACAGAACACAGACAGGATTGGTTCCCATATGGCTACAGAACTGCAGTAAAGTGGAACAATTTTCAGCTTGTGTGATTGAAGGATATCTGGATGCATGTTATAATACTGTCTTCCATAAATGAGGAAAAGTTGAGGTGCCTTTATTATTCTTTTGTTCCATTCTTTGTTTCTATGGGGAATTTGCCAATGCACTATCACTGTCTTCCTTTTAAACAAATAAAACTTAAAAAAAAAAAAAAAAAAGCAATGGCTGTTGAAAATAGCAATTCCAGTCCTAATAACCACTGGGAAGCATTTCTTGCTCAATTTATTCTACTTTTTCTACAGCAAGTTACAGTGGATCAGTATATTTGATTTGGGAGAAATGAAGTAACAGCTGCCCAAATTGAGCTTGAGCACTCCTGAATTTTGAGGGTGTTCAAATCTGGAAGGCAGGTGCTAGATTCCCTCTCTGAATATTAGCTAAATCTGGAAAAGAAAAGTCAATTTCTGCTTCCATGGCTCAGAAATGGAAATCCTCCTACGTGCCTGGTACTGTATCTAAAGCTGTCCAGGTCCAGAGCCTCCCCTCCCTTACTTTTCTTTTTAAATTCTAGTGGGATCCACGTACCTCCCTTGCTAGGCTTCAGATAGAGAGATGCACTGTCCATTTAGTCCACCCAATTCTTTCTTTAGGGGAGAGCCCAGGGCTGGGGCGGCAGGAGGTGCAGGTGGGGGCCAGAGCTGGAGTGGCAGGGGGTGGGGGGGGGGGAAGAGGCCAGGGCTGGGGCAGCAGGGGGTGTGGGCAGGGGAGGGTCCAGGGCTGGGGCAACACAGGGGTGCGGGGGGAGCCCAGGGCTGGGGTGGAGGGCGGCAAAAAAACCTAGAGCTGGCTCTGTCCCTACCATTCACAGCAAGCTGCAGGTTTCAGTTCCATATTCCTTCCCCCTCCCTTTCCTGTTACTAGTGGCCAAGGGAATGCTGGGAAATGCAGTTCTTTCCGTGCTCCAGGGCTGGCTCTATAGGCAGGGAGCTAACCAAGGAACTACAGCTCCCAGGGCCCCCTGTTGGTTCTCAGCTTCCATGCTGGATTCTTGCGCCCCTGCAAATGTGCCGTCCCAAGCAACTGCTAGCTTTGCTGGTGCCTAGAGCCGTCCCTGGGCAGAAGGATCTATAATGACCACCCAGTCTGACCTCCCGCTGTGACAAAGTGGGAATTTTCTGTAATATGTTTAATGAATGATGTGTATGGTGTGGCCTACTTGATACGCACGTGCGACTTGACTAGGGATTGCTAGTGGGTGCAAAAGGGTTAAATGCTCCCTGGGCAGAGCAGGAGACATGAAGTGTGCATGTCTCAGATCTGTCAGGGATGGTATAAATGGGTCAAGAAAGGTTTGGCTGAAACAGACCAAAATCAATGGAGCATCCAGAAAGACAATGGGAGCCCAAGGACTGTACAACTGACCCCTACCAATTGGAAACTGGCAGGTGAATCATGTGAACTCATGTGAACATTAGTAGGAGCACTGCCAGCAGATCGAGGGAAGTGATTATTCCCCTCTATTCAGCACTGGTGAGGCCACATCTGGAGTATTGTGTCCAGTTTTGGTCCCCCCACTACAGAAGGGATGTGGACAAATTGGAGAGAGTCCAGCGGAGGGCAACGAAAATGATCATGACTTACAAGGAGAGGCTGAGGGAACTGGGCTTGTTTAGTCCTCACAAGAGAAGAGTGGGGGGGGGATTTGATAGCAGCTTTCAACTACCTGAAGAGGGGTTCCAAAGAGGATGAAGCTTGGCTGTTCTCAGTGGTG